CTCGCGGGTGGGCGCCGGCGCTGTCTGGCGGGGGCCGCGGGAGGAGCCGAAAGGGCGCTGGGATCCAGGGGAAGGGTCTGTCCTGCGCTTCGAATCTGTGTTTGAACTTTTTAAAAATTCGAAAACTTTGGGGAACGAATGCAACAGGGAGTAAGGACTCTCACCCCAGAGCTGGCTTCTGCCACTTGCCCTGCCGGTTTCTTGGTACTGGGAGGCTCCAGGCTTCCTTCTGTGCACCGAGACTTCCTTGGAGCTGTGGGAAGTGCACTCTTGGAAGATCCCGCATGGGTTCGAGGTGAGGCTGCTTCAGAAGCTCAAATGAAAGACTGTCTCCTCGTGGGAGAGCACCTGGGGCCATCAGAAATGTCTTTTCATCTTTTTCTGGAGGAGACGAATGATAGGGCCTGGTTTACATTCATTTAACTATTTATGACCTCCACTCAGCTGTGGATTTGGAGACATTTTGTGGGAGACTTGGCTTTTTTTTTTTTTCTGGTTGGAAGAACCTAAATTAGCGAGTGTTTTTCACAAAATGTATTGTTCAGGATGTGAGCGTGGCAAATGTGTCCGTGTTCTGTTTAATGACCTCTTTAAACGTACTGTGTACTCTTTAATAGGGATATCATGTACCAAGTGTTCCAGTAGAACACTGACATGTGTGTGCCTGCGTGCCAGCCGCCGCGTGAACTCTTTGCAGGTTTTGCATTTTAGGTAAATAACTGTCTGTACTCTTGGAGTAACAAGAATTTGGAAACAGACGAAGTGAATAAATAATGTCACCTTTTTCAAATTGGGGTTTTTGTTTTTGTTTTTTTTAAATAAAGGAAAATTTGTAGACACTTTCTTTATAATAGAACTTGTGGAAGTTAAGTTTTTCTTTAAAATAAAAACCCCACTTCTACAACTAAGGTCAGGTTTTGAACTTGAGCATCTCACTTTGGATTGGTAACTACTGCCTGGCATCTGTTCACAAATGAGGGTGTAAGTAGAATGACCAAATGTTAGACGTGGAATTCGATCATTTCATATCGTCAAGGGATAAGTGTATATGGTTTCCTTTGCCACATCTTTCCTTTTGCTACTTTTTCACTGGATTCTAGTGTTTGGTTATTGAATAACTTAGGCTAAAGAGCCAAAAATAACGATTTAGCTTTAGTTGGAACTATAGTTTCAGTTCGTGTAAATATTTCCAATTTGTATTTAGAAATCCAAACTTCTCAGAGTTCATGATAAAATATTCTAGACCCTTATGAAAAGGTTATAGTTTAGTGTAACTACTATTTAGGTGAAAGTTCAGGCCAGGCGCGTTGGCTCACGCCTGTAATCCCAGCACTTTGGAAGGCTGAGGTGGGTGGATCACTTGAGGTCAGGAGTTCGAGACCAGCCTGGCCAGCATGGTGAAACCTTGTCTCTACTAACAATACAAAATAAATAAATAAATAAGTAAAATGAAAATTAGCCAGGCTAATGCGTGGGTAGCACAGTCCAGTAATCCCAACTACTGGGGAGGCTAAGGTAGGAGAAGCACCCGCACCCGGGAGACGGAGGTTGCAGAGATCGAGCCACCGTGCTCCAGCCTGGGAGACAGAGCAAGACTGTCTCAAAAAAAAAAAAAAAAAAAAAAAAAGGTCAGAATTTCACTCCTAGAATTTTCTCCTGAGAGTTTTCATCCCCAAACATAGTAAGAATTATTATTTTAAAATTGTGAATGAAACTCATAGCAAAGTTTACAGTTAAACCAGGCAACAGTGATGTGCAGAATGCAGTGGGTATAAAATCAGACAAACCTGAGTTCTAACTGGTCACTTGCTAGCTGTGCCCTAGGCATTCTTTTACTACTACGTCTTCTTTTTCTTTCTTTTTTGATATGGAGTTTCTTCGCTCTTGTTGCCCAGGCTGGAGTGCAATGGTGTGGTCTCAGCTCACTGCAACATCTGCCTCCTGGGTTCAAGTGATTCTCCTGCCTCAGCCTCCCAAGTAGCTGAGATTACAGGTGCCTGCCACCGCACCCAGCTAATTTTTGTATTTTTAGTAGAGACGCAGTTTCACCCTGTTGGCCAGGCTGGTCTCGAACTCCTGACCTCAAGTGATCCACCCACCTTGGCCTTCCAAAGTGCTGGGATTACAGGCGTGAGCCACCGCGCCCGGCCGTGATTTTACTTCTTAGAGACTCCTTCCTGATAGGTGAAACTGGGACAGCTAACATGTAAAGAAGGCACCACCTTCACACGTGCTTAGTAGATAATAAATGTAAATTCTCTTTACCCTCCAAAGATGCTTTTTACTGTACGTCATCATTTTTCGAATGTTATACTATGCCTCTGCAAGAAATAGTTTTTGATGTTTCTTTTTGATTGATGGAGTAACTGTTGCATTGGAGGCAATACTGTGATTTTCTTTCAGTGTGTGTCTATTTGAGCCAGACATTGACTCATTATGAGTTGAGACTTTAGGCTACCAGATCCAAAACGCAATAACATTGGCATTATTAAGCACTTGAGGCTGTCTTTTGTTAATCCAGAATGTGCTTATTTAGTCAGTGAGTTTCTCCTTTCTTCCTAGACCTATATCTGCTCCTAGAGTTGGTTAGTGTTACATCATCACTGTCAGCAGTCCTCATTTTATGGTGTTTAGGTGCCACATCTCTCAGTTATCAAAGAGATCAGTACAATGTGAGGCAAAGTACCTTTTTATAAAAAGCTATAATATATCAAATTTCTTTCATTTAGCCAATATTTTGGTTTTAGAGGGAGGTTTTTAAAAAGTCACCGAGAACTGAGGATCATATGTGTACAGAAACACTGTAATCTGATAGATGAGTCTTAACTAGCAATGTCTTTGCTTATCATTTATTCTGACAGTGATCACCTGCATTCATTATCCTAATAGGCGATATCAAGTGTTTATACTGAGGCCACAAGTAGAATGTTTCACTGAGTTTGTTATCAGGGCTGCTGATCATGAAATTAAACTGTAGTTGTGCACATGTGTATTGTTTCATTAACTTGCCTGCCTACTCAGCCTTCTGCAGTAATGTAGCTTCTCAGAGCACGGGAGAAAAATGTATCTGAGAGTTATTCGAGAGAGAGTTCAACAATAGACCATGTTTCCGAGCATAAATCCAGCGAACCACATAAAAATTTCTTCATGTCTGGATGGAATAGTGTCACTTGCATGGGTCTGAGGGTTTCATTATTTACCTGCCCCAGATTTGGACTCCATTTTTCAGGTGAAAGAATCCTTGGATAACTGTTTCATTTTCATAGGAAACCTCTTTGGTTTCGGGATCCAAAGTAATATGTAGGTTTTATAATCAAATGTTCTCCCTAAAGAGATGACATAGGGGAGAAAAGCCTAATGTACCATCTTAATGGATTCAGTTTTTATTATGCACAAACTCTGGGCTTGTAACCTAGGAATATGATTAGAGTGTGATGCTGGCTTAAAAAATAGGACTGGTGAATCACAGTTTGTGAATAATAAACATACTGGTTGGAAATATTTCCCAGAAGCAGTTTTTTTTTTTTTCCGTCTATCTTTACCTATATCCCATGTTTGGTTTCAAACTTCCCTGCCTTAGAGCAACACAGCTGGTTTTAGACAGTCTCTATATCACTATCTTATGATCTTTGCTCATGTACAAACATACAGCAAATACAACAGTATACAAATATGATGTGATCTATTTTTGTTCACTTTTTCCCCACAGAACGTCTTCTCTAACCCGATAGGAAATGTTCTGAGTACACCATCACATTTATCATTTTAGTAGCACCTCAGTAAACCATCATCCATGTGAAAAACATTGAGCTTCTCAGCTGGGCATGGTGGCTTGCACCTGTAATCCCGGCACTTTAGGAGGCCAAGGCTGGCGAATCATTTGAGGTCAGG